AAATAAACATGAAAAACAACGTAATTCCTCTCTTCAAAGAGCTTAGAGACTACTAGAATGGATATGATATATACACAAATAAACACAACATAAGGTAAGCTGAGATTTGGGGAAAGAAGAAACGTAGACAAAGTGCTAGAGGAAAACTGTCAGAGAGATCACTTTAAGGTAGAAGAATATATAAGAAGACTTTCTAGAAAAAATGGTACCTAACCTGGGTCTTTCAGGAGGAACAGTTTTGGAAACTGCATAATGGATGGATTGGCAAAGAGAGAAATTAGAAAAAGACAGACTAATCAGAATGCCATTACAACAGCCTAGATTCGAAGTGGTGAGGACCTAAACTAAGGTGACAACAGTGTGAAAGGGGGTAAAGGGATGTACGTGAAAGATACCGTAGAAGTAGAATTAACAGGACTAGACTATTGACTAGATTGCATCAGTTCTAATGTCTATACTGAGATGGACTTGGCTCTCTGTTTTGACTGAGTTAGAGTCAGAACCGGGGAGACAAGTCCTCAAACCACGTGATATCTCTGCTTAAATCCTCAAGCAGAAGAGAAGGGCAGCTTAGATTCATAATTTATAGAATTCATAATCATAATATTTCTGGCCTAGAACGAGAGTTAGAGACCATCTACTCAACCCTCCAATTCCACAGATGAAGAAATTAAGGCCTGGTGAGGCCAAGTAATCATCACATAGTCATGTAGCCAGTTACTGGCACATAGAGGACTAAAGCTTAGTATTATTGTTCTGCTATACAGTTCTGCCTCCCCAATATAAGAATAAATGCTATGGGGCTTGAAGCGTTACCATCAAGAAGGACAAGAAAGCTGACTTCAACGACACTCATGTTCTCTCACTGAACTCTACTGTTGACAAGATCCTGGCTTGAGTTCTAGAGGAGCTACCCTGTAGCAACTGTGAACCAGGCATTCCCCAAACCATAGCATAACTTTTGACCACACTATGGCACTAAGTAATGTGAGCCTGTGGGCTGGATATGGGAATGAAGAGAACCAGTGTGCCCACTCACTGATCACAGATGTTGAGCATTCTCAGAAAGAGATGGGAAAAGGAAAGAGTTCACATAGTCCAAGAGAAGGTCTAAGGGACCCTACCTATTTAATGATTCCAATTATATTATGATTTCATTTATCTTACCTTGTCTAAATCAATCTTTAGTTTAACATGGTTACTTAGATAAAATTGCAGAATCCTCTGGGGAGTTTAGATACGTAAAGTACTAAAGATAATGTTACACATGGAAGAGTCCTTTGAGATAATCTAACCTAACCCTCTTACTTTGTAGATAAGGCAACTGAGGCTCATAAGGGACTGCACAAGGCCATATAACCAACTACCGAAAGTGTTTGGACAGTACAGGTCAAGTCTCCTAAAGTTTTACCACAGTATTTTGCCTCCACATAAGAAAGCCTAGATAGTCCAGAATATTTCCTACTAGGACCCACCCTCCTGTAAGTCAGAGGGTAGACAATACACACACACACACATACCATCAGAACTCTTTCTGTCCTTATTCTTTATTAATTTAGTGCAATCTCAGTACTTAGTTTCTTTAGCTTCCTGGTTAATTTCTTGGGATTCTAAGGTTTTTAAGGGTCACCTGGTCCTAAAAGTTCAAAGGACTTATAAGGTCCTATGCCTAAGGACAGCCAGCTTCCAAGAAATGGCTCCAAAAGTTACAGAAGTCAGAGCAACCAGAAGGATATATCTTCCCAACCCAGCTCAACAATCAATAATTGTATGAAGTTATCAGAACCACCTAAGAATCTACAAATTATATTCCTAAATAGTGAAAAAGATATATTGTATAATCTTTCTCCTAGCCTTGGCTTTGTGGCTCTGCTCTAATTGAATAGTTAAAGCTTGTCACTGTAACCCATTCTAAACTAGGATGGCATGGTGGTACCCACGCACAAAATAAATTGATGTGTCATATTAGCCTTGGCTTATTTGGACCTTCTGAGAAATGAGGGGAGAAATGAGAGCTTTTTTTTTCATTTCATTTTATTTTTATTAATTTATTTTTAGTTTTCAACAATCACTTCTGTACACTTTCGAGTTTAAAATTTTTCTCCCCCTTCCCCCTCCCCACAAGACGATGTGCAATCTGATATAGGCTCTAAATATATACATTCCTATTCAACATATTTTCACATTAGTCATGTTGTAAGGAAGAATGAGAACCAATAGGAGGAATCACAAGAAAGAGGAAACAAAACAAAACAGAAGGAAAAAAAGAGAAAATAGTATGCTTCGATCTGCATTCAAACTCCATAGTTCTTTCTCTGGATGTGGATAGCATTTTCTATCATGAGACTTTTGGAGATCCTTAGATCCTTGCACTGCTGAGAAGGGGTAAGTCTATCAAAGTCAGTCATCGCAGGATAAGAACTTTTTTTTAAACAAAAATATACTAAAAGTGAACAGGGCACCCAAGTAAAAACAAACAGAAATATATGATTCTTTGTCTTATCTTGATCTCAAAATCGCAGTATGAAATTTAAAGTCATTATGCAACACCCTATAGTTGACTCAGTTTCAGGAGTGACCTCAACAACTGGACCCATCAATCAGATGCAGAGTAAGAAGGTGATGAGCTGAGGCTGACCAAAAAGAGGCAATTGTTTTAAAACATCATCTCTCTCTAATTCTGTAATGAATGACATATAACTATCAGGTAGCATGATGAATTACTTTTTGTTTACCTCAGAAGGCCATTGCATGGATCAATATGAAGATAAATACATAAAATACGTTATAAATACAGATTGCTGTGGAAGAAACACAAAGCCCTTCCACAAGTACTGGCTCATTTGGTCTTGACAACAAACTGAAGGGAGGTAGAGACTGTTGGAATTATTCCCATTTTAGGAACGCGGCTAAGAGCTTTAGGGGGAAAGGCAGTGATAGTGGTTTAAGGTTTACAAAGTATTTCCCTTACAACTACTCGAGGGCTATAGTTTAAACAGGATTACTCCCATTTTACAGATGAAGACACTGAGTTTCTAAGAGGTGAAATGCCTTGCCATGGTCACCCAGCTAGGAAATGATGGAGTAGGGATGTGAACCTGGGTTTCCTGGCTCCTCGTTCAAGTGCTCTTTTCACTAACTGAACCACACAGATCTGGTCTGTAAGGAGTGTTTTCCCCCCTATATCATTCTGCCTCTCAGGAGTGGTAGCACCTGGAGAGGCAGAGATTTGGGGAAAGGACAGGAAGGCGAATCCTCCCCACCCAAATTTTAGAGCCCCACAGATTCTGAAATCAGACTGCAGAAGAAACCCCCTACTTTGTCCCTCTCTAAGGCCGGCCTTGTTGCTCCTCCCCAGGAAAGGTGCTCAGCCACTCCTTAAGAGGCCAACGGCTTAGAGCCAGATCTCACTATTTCTCTCAGTCTAGTAGTCTTTTTGAGACTGTCTAGCAAACATAAGCTATCACGAGTGACAGACCCACCAAGGGACCTACCCACTCCAAAGATCTCATTTCACTGCCCACTTGGCTTTTAAATAACACAAAACCAAATCTGAGGTTGTCAGACTGAAGCAGCTTTTAACTTGTAGACGGTCATTTTTTTTTCCTCTTCTAGTATCAGATGTCTTTAGTTTATTGAAGATTCCTTAACAATTAAGGCACTTCAAAAACGTTAAGAGTAATTCTTTATAGAAGGAATCTACAGGAAAAGGCAGGCCGAAGATGTAGGGGGTAGAGAAGAAGGAGGGATAGAAGATGGTGGGTGGGACAGAGGAATCTAACCAGTTATATTTAATTAAAAAAAAAAACCACAAACAGGATGCAGACACATTAAAAAAGCAACACTGACCTAACAATGGAATGTGAACTGTAGTTGACTCAAATGGCGTCATTACCATTTCCCTCCCCTCCCTCCACAGCGCAGCCATCCTTAAACAGACAGAACTGTTTAACCAAAGTTCATTGCTAAAACCACTCTTTGACTTTCTAAGTGCAATGCTTGGACCAGAGGAGATGGCTCTGCTGTCTACTGATGAAGTCTGTTCTACGGTGAAGCACCAAGTTTGACGTAGGTCAGAGATGAAAGAAAACAAGTTAGAGTTTTGATATGGTCCTATTTATGTCTCCTAATAAACACTGGCTGCAAGGGGAGAATACCTGAACAGAGCCCAGAAAGCTGCCCAGGAGTCTCTATTTTCCATTTGGGAATGCCCATCTGTTTATACAAGAGGGGAGGAGTGAGAAGCATATTTCCTAGATGATGGCAAAACTTCCCTTGGCTAAAGACATGCGCAAGGGCTGTCCTATGGCAGGAAACCTGGATTTTCCCATTTAGCATGTGACTATGCCTGCAAATACCATTTTCCTGTTATGGGATCTGCTGTGACTATGGGTTGATTAATTACTGAACTCTCTAAATCTCTCCATCCCTCTACCTCAGGATCAACAAGACCAGATGTGGCTGTTTTGGGGTACCATGAGCCTTTCAGCCTGTCAGTCCAGCAATACCATAGAACTGCAAGAGTGGCATCTAAGACCTTCATCAATTGCTTCCGCATTTCCTCAAGATGTTCAGAGTCTTGTTCCTCAATCACAGTAATAATAACAGCTCTCATTTACACAGTGCTTCAAGGTCTGGAAAATGTTTCAGCTGCATCACTTACTTTGACATTCATAATGCTCTGATGAAATAGAGGCTATCAATACCATTTTACAGATAAGAAAGCTAAGGTTGAGCAATTTGCCCAGGATCATGCAACTAGTAAGCGTGTGAGGTGGCATCTGAATCCAACTCTTCCAACCTCCAAGCCTAGCATTTTATCCATTTATCTGGGTCCCAAGTCAGCATTTCTGAAATGGCCATCTCTCAGACTAGAGAATACACAAGTACCTTCCAACACCTCTCATCACATAGACCCAGCACTGTGCACAAAGAGGTCTCCAGCAGGGGAATCTCACAGATCCTTGTCTGAATACCCTCTTGAGAAGAGCAACACTCACCAGGAATCCGGATCTTGAACTTTCCACTTTGGCCAAAGCCGCTTTCAATGATTCCGCTCTCCCCCGACGACAGGTGGACCTTTAGCCCCACAAAGATCTGGATGTTAGTCTCCTTCTTGAACAAGGACCGACCAATCACACTACAATCGTCAATCACCTATGAAAAAAGACAAGGGCCACAATTAAGAGGCCAACCTGGAGCTCCTCTACAACAATCCCCCCTCAGCAGCTGGGCCAGCCCTAAACCCTGGGTCTCCAGATGCCCTGTCTGTACAATATGCTTGAGAAGGCCTGATTGCAGCAGCAGGTCCTCCCTCCATGAGGACTCACTGAAACCCCTCTTACGCTTCAGGAGACAGACAAGTGCTACAGACGACAGTCTTCATTATCTGGTGATGAGCCTCTGAAGGGAGTGAGACGGCTCATGGCTTGTCCATTCATACCTGAAGCCTCTATGGCCTGGCAGGGCCTTCCAGAGCCTGGGCTTACCTAGCAGAGTCTCCTAGGGTCAACTCTGTGCCAGGATGAGAAACAGAATTGAATAGAAGTCAGTAACACAAAGACGCCTTATTGCATAAGACAGTTGGCCTTGAAGCCAGGAAGACATGAGTTCAAGTCCTACCTCTGATAAACACTAGCCGTGTGACCTTGGGCAAGTCACTTATTCAATGTTTTGACAGCTCTCTAAGACTAAAAATTACACAGAAGCTGCTAACCTGCATTGTAGAGGGAATTTCCTCACAAGGGAGTTCCCTATACCAATGAAATCACAACTCCGGACTCTATCCCTACAAATACAAAATATCAAGCCCTGGTTAAAGATCTGGGTATCTTACTAACCGACAGAGTTTGCTGAATGAATAAACTAGTTTTTAAGTTAAGAGATGAGTGGCTGAATAAGTTGTAGTATGTGATTGTGATGGAATACTATTGTGCTATAAGAAATGTTGAGCTCGATGATCTTAGAAAAACATGGAAAAACTTGCACGAAATAATGAAGAACAAAATGAGTAGAACCAAGAGAACATTGTATACAGTAACAGCAATATTGTTTTAGAACAACTTTGAGTGAGTAAGTCATTTTGACTATTGTAAATATCCAAATAAACTACAAAGGACACATGAAGGAAAAAGTTATCTGTATTGAGAGAAAGAAATGATAAATAAAAGTAGGTATAGAATAATTTTACATTTTTATATGTACTTGTATCTAATGGTAGCCATCTCTAGGGCGGGGGTAGAAAGGGAAGAAAAAAAAGGAAAAAAAGGGAAAAAATTTACATGATAAAAAGAATAGCAAGTTGTAGGTAATAGATCTATAGTCTCATGCGCAATCATTTTTTTAAAAATTATACTACATGATAGAAATGTTTGTTTTATCCCATAAATTAAAAAAAATGGACATGAGACCACTTCAAAAGAAAAAATAAACACACATACATATAGTACATAGTAAGTGCTTAATAAATAAAAGGACAGAGTTCATAAATTATATATGTGTACGTATATGCATGCATGCATGTCTGTCTACACACACCATGATTCCAATGTGCACTGTGTTAAAAACATTTCTGATCATGACTTTTACTGTTTACTTACTGTGAACCAGCACTTTTGTGGGGTGGGTGGTTTTTTTTTCTCTTTAAAAATAACCCTTATAATTTACAGGCAGACAATACTACATTGTGGCAACTATCCCACATCTATTGTCTGAAGGACTAAATGGGAACATTTTCAAACTCATAGGTCCTACTAAAAACCAAAGCCAGCACACCTGGAATGAACCCCCCACAGAGATGCTTCTAACATTCACACAAAACCAAACTTCTTTCATTATTATTTGGAATCTACAAAGGTCAAAAATTGGGAGCTTGTTTTTACCCTGTCCATTTGTCAGTAATTTAAATGAATCACTATCTCCTCCTCCCCCTACTCTCCATTAGCACCAGAAAAGCCTACCAAAAATGCTGACAGAAGCATCTTCTCTCATCCCAATTCCCCAAAAGGAAAGAAATGAGCTAGTGAGTGCAGCAGGCAAATGTGCAGCCTCCTCAGGCTGTAGATGGGATTGGGAGACGGGTAGACCTTCCTTCACTCTGCTATGCTGGGGATGGGATGAATCAACTGCAACACTGTGTTAACCCAATTAGTATAAATCACATCTTAATGTAAATGGGAGAAGGGATCTTGCTATTTAAAGAAACTCTTTCATGAATGCTTTCATAAAGAATTATTTTGTTAATAGACAATCACTTCCCAATTTATTTATTTTCTAAGTTTATATGTATGTGGTTTTGAAAAGCGGAGCAGAGGAAAATGAACCACAGATACTACGCCAATTTGTTACAAAGGGTTTTTCTTTTGTTTTTTTTTTCCCAATAGTAACAGAGATGAGGAGAGAAAACAACAAGAGAGAAAAACCCAAAAATAAAAGTAATTTAAAAATTGCCCCATCCCCATAATTTCAAATTCTACCCATTTTCCAAAATTCAGTTCATAAAGTCATAGGATTCTGACCTGGAAAGGTCTAGTGGTCTAGTCTACCTGTCTCATCTTACATTTGGTAAAAATGCAGTCAAGAGAGAGAAGGAGCCTGGGCCAAAGTCACCCAGCAGACAAACCCACTGCCATGCCAGGAAGGGCGCCCTGGGACCACGGCCTCCAAATCCTACTTCACTAGTGATGCCCCGTGGTTTCTGTTCCTTTCAGCAGCAACAAAAACTACAACAAAGTGCTATGAACCCCCAGGTTAACTTAACATATCGTTCTTTTAGATTTATTCATAAAGTGCTTACAAAAGAATCTCAATGGGAATTTTGGGCCCAAACAGCTCGTGGCAGTTTTGAATTGCTACAGAAACAAACCTACAATGCACGTGCTTGTTGCCACAGGGGGGGAAGTGTGGTGTGTGTGTGTGTGTGTGTGTGTGTTGTGTGTAAAACATAGTTACCCCTTAAGATGCCATTAAGGAATTTTTAGCTAGAACCCCCTAGAACATCATGGTGAATCCTCAAGGGTTTCAGAACCACTAAATGGAAACCACCCTTAACACCACTAGGAAACATTTCACCTCCTCCATGACGTCTTCCTACATCATTCCTGCCCAGTGATCTCTTCCTTTTGTGAATTCATAGCAGTTGTTGTCTATCATAGTCCCTGCACATAATAGGTACTTTAAAATGCCTGTTAATTGGTGTACCATTCATCTGGCAGTTAACAATATACTTCTTCGTGACAGGTTTTATACTGCCGTCTCATCCTATTGCTTTTTCCCCTCAACTAGTGAGCAGATGTTTTGAAGGCAGGTCACTCCCCTGCTCAACACCAGGTGCCTACTCTACATGCCAGGCTCTAGAAGCCAGGCCAGGCCTCTCACTATACCTGCCAAGATCCAAAGAAAAAAGTGAAGCGGCCGCTGCCCACAAGTGCCTTGTGTCCTCTCGGGGGAACCCCATGAACACCAAGGAGTAAATAAAACCGTAAAAGGTAATTACACTTTAAGAAGAGGGGCTGCTAGGAGGACCAGGAAAGGCTCTGTGGAGGTAGCAGCCTTCGGCTGAGTTTGTAAAGAAACCTGGGATTCTAAGAAAGAGAAAGGAGTAGGCAGGCCAAGAGCCCGGGGCCAAGAAATGAAGAGGGAGAAATAAGAAGGAAGCCATTTGGGCCAAAGAACAGAAGTCTGGAAAAGGAAGCTCCCCCATGACTGGGAAGGGCTTCCAACTCTGGAGGTTTGTTTTGGATATGAAAAGCAAATGGGAGCCTTTGTGGTTTATGGAGCAGGAGAGTGATACGACCAGGCACACATTTTAGGAAAATCACTTTGGTGCAAACGATGGACTTGAGGCAGGGAGACCATTAGGACATGATTACGATAGTGCCAAGGAGAGCCTGAACTCTGGCAGGGGGGTGAGGGCGTCCTGTCCCGTGCAGGAGAAAATACACACATTTCTGTTTGGCATTTCCAGCCCTTCACTGTCTCTCTCCAATCTCTCTCCAGGTTGATCACTTGCTGTTGGCTCCCGGTCTGCTCTGCGTGCGCCTGCCCCTTCCTACCTACCTGGTCTTATGACACCTTACTTCACAGCACATACTCTATGATCTAGTGACACTAGCTCCTGGCTGGTCCATGAACAAGACCCTCCATCTCTCGGCTCAGGGCACTTTCTCTGGCTGTCCCTCTTCCTAGAAATCTCTCCCTCCTCATTTCAGTCTACAGACCTCCCTGGCTTCCTTTAAATCTTGACTAAAATCTCACCTTCTATAGAGAGCCTTCCCCCCACCTCTCTTAATTCCAGTACCTTCCGTCCATCAATTATATATAGTTTACTTTGCATATATTTGTTTGCATGTTGTCTCCCCTTGTTAGACTGTAAGCTCCCTGTGGGCAAGGACTACCTTCTGCCTCTTTTTGTACCCCCTACTGCATAGCACATTGCCTGGCACCTAGCAGGCACTTAACAAATGTTTACTGATCAACTGATTTTTCTCCCTCTTGGAATTACTAGTTCAATTCAAGGTTCATCTTCTATAAGAAATTTTTTCTCGATTCTCCCCAGTTACTAGTACCTACCCAATGATCACTTTTCATCTATTTTTTTAAATTAAAATTTCACAAAAATCTACTTTCTCTCCCTCTCACTCCCCCCCCTCAACTTTTGAGAGAAAAAACAGAACCCCTGTTCCAAACATATATGGTAAAGCAAATCGATTTCCAACACTGCCCATGCCCCCCCCCCTCAGCCTTAATCTGCATGCTGAGTCTATCATCTCTCTATCAGGAGGTGAGTAGTATGTTCATCATGAGTCTTTCAGAATTGTGGCTGATCATTGTGTTGTTCAGAGTTTCTAAATCTTTCAGAGTTGTTTGTCTTTACCATACTATTATTGCATAATTTTTTCACCTAGTTCTGTTCACTTCACTTTGCATCAGTTCACGTCTTTCCACGTTTCTCTGAAATCATCCCCTTCATCGTTCCTTACAGCACAATATTATTCCATCATACACACACACAACACACACTCTCTCTCTCTCTCTCTCTCTCTCTCTCTCTCTCTCTCTCTCTCTCTCTCAACTTGTTCAGCCATTCCCCAGTTGCTGGGCATCCCATCTAGTTTGTATATACCTTATATTTATTTATCTCTCTACATATTTTATCC